TTTTTCTTTCCTTCATTTTCTTGAAGCAACTTGGTCAAAATCAGTTATACTCAGCTTGTCTTCATTTGTGTATCTGTAAATTTAATTTCAGACTTCCCTTATGAATTTTTTAACTCAGGTACAGTTGTGTCAGTCGCTCATTTGTGATTCTGTTCCAGCTTTAGCGTTTACTCTTTCCCCTCAATTCCCTCGACACTGAGAGTCCCCATGAAAAAGAACTGAAATTCTATAAAAAGGAAAAAGAAAAAGAAAAGGATAAGAATTTTTCCCTTCAACAATTGTCCACAAACAAGGTTTGTAGTGCTTTTGACTGTATTGTTTCTCTGTAATTTACCAACATTCGAGACATAGTTGAGTGCTAAAACTTGAACTTCTGCCTAATGAATTCCTTTCCTATATTACTGAATTAACAATATTTTTATTGCAGATCCTACTAAACGTGGCCATTAAGCATAGCGAAGAAGAATATGATCAAAATGAGTGTCGTCTGACTCCAGCCTAGAGGCTGCTAGGAAATCCCACCGGGACCGGATTCTTGCACTCAACCAGTATTTGGCTAATTTTAGTGAGCATTATGACCTTCCCAAAGTAGGGCCCTGCTGATCATTTTGAATTGTGGAACTCGTTTTTATTTTCGGTATTGTTTATTTCCTTGTGTTGCTTGTGCATGTTTGAGTAGCTGCTGTATCTCAGGACTTGGTTGGTTGCTAATTTCAATTGTTCAATTTTGTGGAATACTATGAGAGCGGGTGTCTGTGATCTGGATCTCGTTACCCCGTTAGGGGAGTTTCTAGATTCGTTGTGTTGGGTTGTGGATCTCGTGGCTTCTCTAAGTGGATCGGGTTAGGTGTTAGCTGGGTTTTCCCGTCCGATGGGAGGTCTTTAGTTTAATTTATATACTAGTTGTTACCCGTGCATTTGCACGGAAAACTATATGACAAAAATAAAATAATAAAAAATATAAACAATAGTAAAATATATAACATAATCATTGGAAAAAAAAGTTTTAAAAAAAAAATTTCAAATATAATTAGACACTTCTTTATATACAACGTTCATAATTTTTCGAAACCCAACCTGATTTCTTGATGTAGCCCAATAAAAAAATTTAGTATTAGAATATTTTAAATAAGCCACAACTCATTATTTTTCTTATAACTTAAGCCCAAACATTCACATCCCATTGTTTTATTAACAAAGCCAGACAAAATCAAACAATAAATTCTTCTTCGGGCCACAAATGAGTCAAATAAAGTTGATGCATGGACCCATATAGCACGGTCAAAGTTTCATCCACCACACAAATGTAGAACATTCAACAAAGTGGTAGAGACAATTATTTAATGCCTAAAACCCTACACCTGTAACATTTTCGTCGTTTTTCTTCACTTTTAATCTTTTTTTTTTTTTTATCGGAGACAAATACTTGGATCGATTCTGATTTTGTTTAGCCGTTGTAGACATGCTTTTAGTTTATACATGTCTTACATCATGAAAAACAAATTTTAGCCCAGTAGTTACTTCTTTGTTTGTCGAAAATTTCTTTGACTAAAATCGAATCAAACGGAATATTGTAGTTTTTTTTCTTGTTCTTAGCCAAGAAAATCATATTATCAAATTGCACTGCCATTTGGAACTCAAAAGAAATATGTTGTGTCGAAATAGTTTTTTCGGTGACTGTGATTAGAACTGTGGAATGCAAAGTGAAAATGTGTCTGATTTTTATTTTATTTATAAGCACCTACAGAAGTCTATTAACTAATTAGTGTAAATACCAACAAATCAAGAGCATGATTAGTTGAAAATATTTTGATAACTGGAAAAATATGAACTATATAATAGTGGCGCATTTGATATGATTTTTGAAACTGAAATTTATGTTCCGCCAACTAAAGATTTTATTTTTAGAGTCAAAATTTATGTTTTTGTTTGTATTTATTAATTAGACATGTGCTTCTATCATATAAAAATTATTATTTATTCTTAAGTTATTTTTATCATTCAAAATCTATTGAGATTTAAATTGTATTTTAACCATGCAACGTTTATATTAGTAACATGAATAAAATAATTTATATATTTGTAGCATATATTAAGAAAATTAACATAAATAAAAAAAATTATTGGTGTTTCCAATTTTTAGAAGAAAAAAAATATATGTGTCAATCATGCACAGATGCACATATAATATTATAAGTAATATTGAGAATTTAATATTAAAATTTTAGATAATGAACATATTACATTTTAAATTTTATCATTAGAAAAAAATAACGATTTTATTATTATGAACAATTGTATATTACCATTAGATACTAACTGTTTAATTATTCTTCTTCTTCTTCTTTATTAAAACAATTGTTTATAAGATTTTAAAGTTGTTTGACTATGCTATTAAAATAATTTACTAATTGTTTTTAAAGAATTTTTTTTTTCATGAGATACAAAAGAAAAAGATAATATTGATGTTAAAATAAATAACTTAAAACAATTGTTCTTAATTATGTAATTTATATTTATTGTGAATTATTATTAGTTGGTATTAGCAATAACAATTGGGGGTGTCTATATGTACACCCCCTCAAGTGTAAAAAAGGGGTGTACATATAGCACTTTTCTTTGTGTAATTTATTAAAAGGGGGTGTACATATAGCATTGCCCTAACAATTATGTAATATAATAGAAAAATACATGATTATACTCATTATGATGTATTAATGTGAGAAATAAAAAATATTAATGATAATTTTTGTAACTGAAAATGGAGGAAAAATATTAGAGGTTTTATTAAATAGGTAAAATTAAATGCTATATGCTAGCAATTATATATATATAGATTAGTTTTGTTGCTTGTTTTGCGTTTGTTAGTCTTGTAACTGCATTTTTGTTTTTTATTTTCTCCTCTTTAGGAGTGTATATTATCCCATCGGGAAGTATGTATTCTTCCGTTAGGAAGTGTGTATTCTTCATTAGTAGAGTTTTTATTTTTATTTTATTATTATTATTTTTTTTAATATTTAAGTAGTGTGTTGTGGTTTAAGTTATCTTAGATAGACCTCCCTCATTCCACGTTAACCCGTTGTAATTACGTGTTTATCTATTAAATCTATTGTTTAAAAAAGGTAGGAAACCTCCAGGGACGGATTCATATATGACTGAATTTTTTTTCTAACTATATAATTTATATAGTTAACTTGTGTTGATTAAATAAAATTATATATAATAATTGTAAAAATATAAAATACAAGTTTTCATTTTAAAATTTAAAATAATTTTTCATTTAAAATAATACACCTTGCTGTTAGATTCGAAGGTATTATATTATAATATTTTTGCTTCTTATATTTTATAATAAGCTTGATATATAAATTTATCGTTTTTGTTAATTATAACTAGTGTAGAGCCCGTGCGATGCACGGTGGATAGTTTTAAAACTATTTACCCAACCTTATTATTGTACTCGTGATAAAGAAAATTAAATAAATAGAATTAAAAAAACTATGAGTTATTATTAAAAATTTCATCGTGGACAACATTTTTTCCTTGTAGGCACACCATTCTCCTCGCAAACTAATATTTTCAAACCCTTTCGATTAGTGACATAGGAAACAACTGCATACAATAGGTCGTGACTGAACACCAACTTCTTCAAGAACATGTCAACATGTGATAAAGACTGACCCTGACTCTTGTTAATCGTCATGCTATAAGAAACTATCAGGGGAAGCTTACTTAGTTGAATTTTGAAATGTACTCTAAATTCAGAAAGTGTTAGAGTCAACTAAGGTATCAACACTTTCTGTAGTGCCCCGTTTGTTTCTCGTGAATTTTAGTATTTTATTTCATTTATTGACTTGCTTTTTTTTTTTTAATATAGTTGTATGTCTTTATATTATTAATTGCTTGTATCTTTATATGATCGTTGCTTCATCTAATTTTATCGTGTGCTCGTACTATTTCTATGTGATTACCCTTATTTTTATATAATTGCTCTATTTTGATGATTTTTATGTGAATGATTTTATTTTCACGTTATGCATAGGGCGTGATCAAATTTAATATTAGTTGCTAGTTTAGTAGTTTGGAGATTTTCGGGTTAATCGCGTAGATTAATTTCAAACTCTTTACAACACGTTTTTTCTTGGCATTTTATCAGAAGCATTGGAAGTCATTTTTTCAGCCCAATTCTTGCTAAAGATCTCGGCCCAATTGATCGTAATAATCCGGCCCTTAGTATTGAGTTCTCGGCCCTTTACTTAGAATTTTTGCCCCTTTTTATTTTAATATTTGAATTTTATTCCTAGACCAAAATTTTGGTAATGAAGTAAATCAATCAGTTGATATTTGTTAGCCTTATCCCTTATGATCAGATTTTTCCAGCCTTTTATCCCCTCATTCACGCATTCTGAATCCCATGTAAGGTATGAATTTGATATTTTCCAACTTCTATAATTTTTCAACTTTTTAATGTGATTAATATTAATACTAGTGCGTATCTCGTGCGATGCACGGGTAAACAATATTAAATAATAATTATAAATAAGTATCGAGTTCGAGTCACACAATGAAAAAAGTGGGGAATCACTATTGATCATCTCTTAAAAGAGCAAGAAAAAATATTATAAATTAAAGATGATGGTAAACGATGTTAAATAATAATTATAAATTAACGATGTGGGTTAACATGTCATATAATTTACGGTATATCAGTTTATTATAAACGATATAAAATTAGCTTGTTCAAGAGAACATAAAATTTATATATTTAAATAATTAAAAACTCCTAAAATATTATATTAACATATGTAAAATTATCTAAAATTTTCTATATTATTATTAAAAGATGTGAAGTCACCTACAACTTTTCTAAACTATTTTGTAAAGAATATATATCTAAAAACATTAAAGTTTATGATGGGTCTCCTCCTAGATCTGGAGTGAACCGGTGGAAATGAGCTCCGGTCTGTTCGAATCGTCTCCAAGTCGCCCGTGGACCGCAGTGAACACCTGCAAGAACTCAACACCGGAAGTGTTTTCCGGTGAAGAGCCCCCGACGCTCAAGTCAGTGAATGAAGAGAGAAGGAGCTCTGCTCAGGGGGAGCATCAGCTGAATATTGAATGAGGAGAATAATAGTTAGGGTTTGGAGTCACCTCTACTCCTTTATATAAGGGTAGAAATGCCCATTGGAAATACCTGAAATGCCCTAGCCGACTTACCCGAAGTGTCCAAAATGCCCTGGTCGCTTCACATTCTACCCACTTTCTTAATCAGCACCCAGATTCCTTCTTATCTCGTATAGATTCCCTAGCTCTGGGAGTCCTGCTTCGTCATTTGAGGTAAATGCGAGTCGCCAGAGATACCCTAAGTCGGCTCGAAGCCTTGTCAAGTCGACTTATGGTCCTGCGATTATATCTGAGGTTCTTAGAATGTTCATTCGCCTTCTAACGCGTAAGTCGACTTTAAACGAAGACGACTTCCTGAAGTCGTCTTTTGATCGTCCTTAGGCCAGTGGTGATCCATAAATGATGGATAGGCCACGTTGACTTTGGAGGTATCGCTTTAATGATATGCAACTCGAGTCGAGTAACCAATGCCTGAATCGGGCTACGACAATAGGGCTATAACAGTTTACATTTGTATGAAAGGTGTTTTCTGAATATGACATGATAAAATATTATAAGCCTAAATAAATACATTATAAAGTTTCTGAAAGAAAATTTACCTAGTATATATAAAATAAATATTGACATGATGCTGAAAATTATGACGACACTACCGTACCTGAAATTTTTTGTATAGAAGATTTCAAAATTATCATTATTATTCTTTTGAGTAATTTGAGGACAAACAAATTTTAAAATTATTATTATGATTCTTTTAATTAATTTGAGTACAGAAGTTTCAAAATTATTATTATTTTTTAGTTACTATGAAAATTATTATTATTATTATTTTAAGTAATTTGAGTACAAAAGATTTCAAAATTATTATTATTTTTTAGTTCCTGTAAAAAGAAATTTTGTATGCGTAAAATTCCACGCTTTATGTAGATTTATCAATTTTACAAATGAAATGAGATTTATATTTATATTGAATGGAGACTAAGACAATTTTTTTTTAAAAAAAAAGATCTGTCTATTTTTCAAAATTATTCTCTTGATTTTTGAAACAATGCATTTGTAATTTGACTTAATTATTGTAAAATTTTGAAACTTATGGAAAAAAAATTGTAGAGATGAATTTAAATTGATTTGAAATTCTTAAACCATTTTGAATTTCGTATAGATTGAACCAAAAAAATGAAATATCATTATGATTTTGTAATTTCCAAGAGGTTTGTTAATTTTAAAGTGGCACAAAATCCTTCATTTAAGGATATGGATAGAAGCATGTGATTAGATATTTTTGAAATTCAATTTGAACAAAATCCTTTATATTAGAAAAATATTTTAAATTAAACCAAATTTATGGCAACTAAAATGAGAAGGGTTTTTGAATTTCAAATTTTCAATTCAAGTTCTAAGAAAAAAATTTTCGGCAATCTAATTGTTTGGAATAAAAAACACAATCGAATTGTTTTAAATCGAATTTATAGGTAAGTTGTAAATTTTTCTCGTCCATTTAAAAATAATTGAAAGAATTCATATAAATAGGAATTTGTCAAAAAAATTAAAAAGGTGTTGTATTGAGATAATTATGGGCATTTAGTTAAAACTTTTTGAATATTTACCAAAAATAATTGAAAGAATTCATATAAATAGGAATTTGTCAAAAAATTAAAAAGGTGTTGTATTGAGATAATTATGGGCATTTAGTTAAAACTTTTTGAATTATGCTATTTTTAGTATGTTATTAATGATTTTGGCGGAATTGTTTTTAAATTTGTAAAAAGGTTATTATTTTTATATAATGATAGATTTCTTTATAGTTACGCTGCAATTAACACAATAAATCTAAAAAAGATAGCATAAATTCAGCCACAATTAGTAAAATGGATTCTTAAATTGATACATTAAATTAATTCATTATTAACAAAATAAGCCCTTTAAAAGATACCACAAAATGTGTAAATATTTTCCACATTTAGTAAATAAGATTTTTTTTTTTGCCGGGAAAAAACTACTATTTTAAAAATAATCAAACATTTATATATATATATATATATATATATATAGATTGATGATAAATATTTAAATTTAATTATATTTACTTATATAAACAATATGAATGTCAAATTATAGATTATGAAAATGTGATTAATTTAATTTATCATATATAAAAAATAATAACAAATATAAATGTTTATTAACTTTTAAAATGTATTTGCAATTTAAGTTAGTCAAGTATTTAAATTTGAAAGTTCTAGTAAACATGAATAAAGGTCTATATTTTTATGGACTACTTCGAATCCTTATAAATTAACATATTGAATTACAAGACATTGAAAAACTCTACATTTGTATGTAAGAAGATAATCTATAAGGACCTCTTTATAAAAAGACAAACAAACTAAAATGATGACATTTAGGCTTTTTTTTTTTTAATTAATAAATTATATTTCAAAATGACTCATTTATAACTTATTACAAAAAATAATGGAAAATGGACTATAAATTTTTTTGCTATACTTCTTAATAATAATAAAAATGTGAAGCCAAATAGCTAGATCCATTTCTTCATTTCATTTTGAGCATCAAGTCAAAAGTAAATTGAATAGAGAATCCCTCTCGATTGTTCAGCGATTTATTTCATTGTTAATATAAGTACTTTATGCAATAATGTTGAACGCTTTATTTTAACTATTTTTTGCCCGGGTTCATAAAAAATTATTGATCAGCCACTGCCTTCGTCCTTCGACTAGTTAGTCGATTAGTCGACTGTAATTACGTGTTCTATCTATTCAATCTATCGTTAAAAAAAAAAAAATATTACTTCATTATTTTAATTTATGTACCTCTATTCTTTATAAGGAGAAACAATTTTCCACAAAGTAAATTGCAAAAAAGTCCTCAACCCACCAACAAATTTCAACATCTTCATAAAACAAACCCCTCCATCGTCTCAAAGTTCGCACTTTCCCATTTTCCGGAGACGCGCTTTACTTTCAGAAGCTGCCGATTTTACCTGGTAAACACTTATGTTCTTCTTCATGAACAAGCTTATGCATTCACACAAGCCCTACAATTTCAGTTCTCGGATATGTTTTTGTGTTACAGTGAATAGAATTATTGTGTGATTCTTTTTGATTGCTTATCAGATGCTTTGGTTTTCTGATTTTCTTTTCCGTCTGTATACGGTTTCATTGCTGTGTTTCTGACCTTTTTGCAGTGGAGATTTATTCATTTGGTATTAGTTCTGTCACCGTTTCTGGTGATGTCAATCGTTACTTCGTAATCGTAAAATTTTATTTAATTTAAAAGAAATGATAATTTTGGTGGGGTTTCGGTTTAGTTTGATGTAGTGAAGTAGATTGGTGATGATCTGATTGTCCTTGTTGATGGTGGAAAGAGGTTAAATGGACGTTCTGAGTGTGTATTCTTCATCACCATTCATCTGTATGTGTGTCTGTTTGTTCTACTTAACGGGATAGTATTGGGACAACCCGTAGTAGTTGAATAAATGCAAGCGAACATACCGTTAGCATCTTACAATATGAATCTCAAACCGTTCATTCGTAATCATTAGATTTTGTTTGCGCTCAACTTAGCTGTATGACACATGTCGAGATCAGGTCAAAGGCAATGAGAAGTATGAGTCGACTGACGAGTGTGTCCCCATCACTCAGTGACAAGGTTGAACTTGCGGGTTTGGTGATTTTGTTGCTGTTTGAATAATCATTTTGGAGGGAACGGGTTTACCATATCATTAGCTAAAACTCATCTACACATTGACTTAAATAACTTGTGTTCCTCTGTTGAATAATCCATCTCTGATATCACCATAAGTACAACTCTGCTACATTTATAGCTCAGGTTGAATTTCCCAGTCTCCGAATACCCAAAACATATGGTGGGAGAGTGCTCTAAACAGAACACATTCATGATGGAGGATGAAATTCAGCTGTACATCAATTGGGATGATGTCAAATGCCCCATCTGCCTCGACTCCCCGCACAACGCCGTTCTCCTCCAGTGCTCATCTAACGGAAACGGGTGCCGCTCGTTTGTGTGCGACACGGACCACTTGCACTCAAACTGCCTCAACCGCTTCAGACAAGCCAATGGGATGCCCTCTGGCCCGAAACTGCCAAGCATCGCCGAGAATCTGCAGTCACTAGATTCGCCACCCGACTGCAAGCCCGCGTGTCCCCTGTGCAGGGGAGAAGTGTCTGGATGGATAGTGGTCGACAAGGCCCGTGCACACCTGGACGAGAGAAAACGGTACTGTGAGGAGGACAAGTGTCGTTTCTCAGGGACCTTCATAGAGCTCCGGAAGCACGCGCAGATCGAGCACCCGTACTCTTGCCCTTCGAAAATCGACCCGGCCCGCCAGCTGGACTGGGAGAACTTCCAGCAGTCGTCTGAGATTATTGACGTCTTGAGCACTATACACTCAGAAATCCCACACGGGGTGGTTTTGGGGGATTACATTATAGAATACGGGGATGATAACTCGGGGGATGAGTTTGACGATTTTCATGGGCCCGAGAGGAACTGGTGGACATCTTGCATTTTGTATCAAGTGTTTGACAATTTCAGGGCGTCCAGGAACAGAAGGCGGTCGAGGGTGAGCGACTCAAGGAGGGTCTGGACCCACCGGATAAGTTATGATGCCTCATATTCGGCTGAGGGTTCAGTGTCATCCATGGAGTATGTGGATTATAGGGGGGACGAGGCTGAGGCTGATTTTGTGAACTCGAGGAGGATGTCTAGAGGAAGGGCTCGACAAAGGTGAGGAGAAGTCAACCGTGTAGGTATCAACGAGTTTTTTGAATTTGCAATCTTTTTTGAGCAGACCAACTTAATGATGATCCTTTTTGTCGTCAACTTAACTGTTCTGTTGGTTTAAAGTTAAAAATCTAAATTTTTATGATAAAAGTGTATGAGTTATTATTTTATTTTTCGAAGAAAGATTCTCAAGATACCTATAGCTTTGCATATCGAATAATCTATGGAAATTTTAGTTCCTGATGCTTCAAAATGAAATATTCTTGAGTTAATCAATCGGTCTTGGTTAGAAAAAGAACTGCTAAATGCTAAGAGTGCTATACCATTTCTCTGGTTGACAATTAACTTCTTTATAAGCTTGCATTACCTTGCCTTTAGGTTTCTTCTTTCTTTCTTTCTTTGTTTTTATTTTCCTTGTATTAACTTTACTTGTATCACAGCTCAAGAAGGCGCCGTTTCCGTATTCGTGACAACTAGGTAAGCAATGTCCATCTTACTCCTTTTTTCTCTCTTTTTTGGCAATTTACTGGGGTAAATTGCACCAAAACCCCCTGTGTTATATAAAATGTGCGCGTTACTACCCTGTATTTTAAAAACTGCACCAGACCCCTTATGTTTATGTACGTGTTGCACACGCTCCCCTTTTTAAATTTCCCCATTAACGGCGTTAGTTTTCTATCCAAAGCCCCGTTATACCCTCTGAATATTATATATATATTTATGATAAATTGAATTTATCGCGATATATTCAATATATCGCGAGAAATTAAATAAAAAAAAAAACTGTCTCTGAGATTCGACCCTATGACCTCTTGGAAGCAATGCAAGTTGTGTAACCACCACACCACTCAAGGTTGAGTGCTAGTTGTAGTAAAGTTTAATATATATCACATTACATATGGATAAATGAAATTAAATTTAGAAGATAATGTAAATTATATAAATTATAATAATATTTAATGTATTTAATGTATTTATAAACAGAAAATTATAATGTATTTAATGTATTTATAAAATTATAATTATATTTTAACAAACAGAAAATAATTCAAATAAAATTATAAATAAATATAAAAAAATATAATTATATTATAATAATATTTAATGTATTTATTTTATATTATTTTTATATATTCTTATATTTTATTATTTATTTTAATTTATATTAAGTTATTATTATACAAACTGAAAATAATCAACCTAAAACTATAAATAAATATAAAAAATTATAATTATATTATAATAGTATTTAATGTATTAATTTTCGAATTATTTTATAATAAAATTATTTTTTTTAATAAATATGTTTTAGAAATTAATATTATTTATTTACATTAGAAATATTTACTAAAAAATTATAATTTATGTTCAAATTTTTTATTCATATTGTATGTAAGAGAAAACCATAATATAATTATTTGATGAATAATATTTTTTATTTTCTTATATGAATTTAATATTTATATTTACTTAAGTTATTATTTCATAATAGGTTACTCTATTTATTATTTATTTTGCTTTATCATTGTTTTAATTTATTTATTTTATAATTATTATTTTTATGTTACTTTAATTAGTTTATTTTAATTTTATTTATTTTTTAATTTAATTTTTGTATTATATTTTCATTTAAAATTTATTTATTTAATTTATTTTGATAACTAAAATGTAAATTTATTAAATTTTAATTTCACGCTATTATATTATATTTTGTCTTACTTTATTTTAATTTAATTTTTTATTATTTTATGTTAATTTAATTTTTTGGAAGTTATTATTAGTATTAATTATTTAATTTATAGCTAATTGGCCTATTATACTGTTATTTTATTTTATTTATTCTAAAATATTTAATTCATTTACGTATGATGTATAAATATATTTATGTTCAATGAATTTCACATCCATTCATGTAGCCCAGTGGTTGAGTGGGTGTGCTTTTTCCTCCCACCCAGGTTCGAATCTTGGTTCCTACATTTATATATGTTAGATTTTGCAACATTCAAGAGGGCATAAATGTAAATTATTAATTCTGTAAAATAAAAAAATTGAATAATATTCGCATCTGGAGAAAGTGTCTTTCACGCGCCGTTATATTGGACGGTATGGGGGAAGCGTGCAACACGTACTTAAACATAAGGGGGTCTGGTGCAGTTTTTAAAACATAGGGTAGTAACGCGCACATTTCGTATAACGCAGGGGGGTTTGGTGCAATTTACCCCAATTTACTGTAATGAGAAGAGTGTGGATAGCAGTTGCTTGTTTTCACATTTGAATTTTTTTTTTTGTTCAATTCCTCGAGATGAGACCAATCTTTAACTTTTTTGGACATCTTTAACTTTTTTTCGACGTTGTTTTAAATGTGGTGTTTTGTTTATTTACTGCTAATAATATCTAACATTAACCTACAACAGAATAGAGTTCAAGTTCAACGCCTATGGAAATGGAATGGAACGGAAACGAAAGTTCACTGGTCTGGGCTCGGTTTTTTGAAAGCGAACAGTACATGTAAAAATTCGTCAGGCTGATGTTTTCACTCACTTCCTTAGAAGTGATGGTGTTTTTCCCTTTCTGGAGGAGAGTGGTATTTGGGACAACTTTGTGTAAAAACTCTTTAGCTTCTCAGTCCAGAGATAGAGAAATAATGTAGCAGAATCTAGTTTAGGGAAATGCTACATTGCCAACCTAGTGTACGACTAGGTTCGACAACACAAGTAGAAACATTTACTTGTTTATTTTATTTTATTTTATTTTAATATTTTTATTTGTGTTGTCAACCTTGTTGTATACTAGGTTGACAATTTATGGTTGGCTTCCCTATGTTCCTTGAACAAGGCCGACTATCTGAAATTTTTTTTGTTCTTTCTTATGTTTTAACAAAAAATTGGTTTTTAGTGTCGTGATATCTTGATGTTGCCATTTAGCAAATCAGTTAGACTATCTTCAATCGAAAAAAAAACTCATTCTCAAACACATTTTGCATTAACTGTGACATCAAAAAACACAAAATAGTAATTCTTTTCCAACCGACAAACTCAGTATCAAACTGAAAAGAATATTCTCATAATATTCTTTTTCCTATAAACTTTTATATTTTTAAATATCACCAATATATTTTTACAACTTCACATATTAGATCTATTATTATTATTATATATTCGGTTTGAGCAATATATAACAAATTTTTAGATTAATAATTCAACATATAAAAAATATTGCGTATTCACGAAACATTTTCTTTTGATAGTTATTCAATAATACTCCATGTTCAACAAACTTATAAATTGAGTTGGTGGTATTAATGATTCTTTCTTTTTTAATTTAAAGCAT